TTTTCTCACGCCTAATGGTGTATTTTTGGTGATGCGTACCTAATTTGTGTGTATTTTTATGGTGTATTTTTCTAACGTTAATGGTGTATATTTGTTGAACTATTGGTGACGCCGCACCGCCGCACCTAAGGACACCGCCGCACCTGAACTCGCCTCTATATATATATATATATATATATATATATATATATATATATATACTGCAGTTTCATTTGAAAATATAAAAATAATACGTGAGGCAGTGTCGGTTTAGATACACTGTAATGTCACTCTGTTAACACTAACAGTGCGCCATTTCTTTACTTAAAGAAACGACGCCATTTTAATACGCGGTGCATAATCGATTATGCACCGCGGTCCACGATATAACCACTGAGGCACTGAGGTAGGGCACTCCAAAATCTTTAACTTTGTAATTTTTAAATTTTATAATTTGAAAAAGAAAAATGTAAATGCTAAGTGATAAGTCCATAACAAAACTACAAAAGTCATTATCCAATCCATCAATGCTATTCAAAACAGGCGTTAGTAGTTTAATTCAAAGAAGTAGAACCCATCACTTTAGAGTTTAGACTAGGCAATACACTACCTACAATACAAATCAACAAATTTACAAATCAACTTAAATACGTGTCCTTCACAAGAAATCAACAATTCAACATACAATGTCAACGATTAAATCATGCAAGAAAAATAATTGTAAATATGTAAATTGTGTATTTTGGACTTCGGGTCTATGGTATAATTGTTGCACTTTTAGTTGTTGGGTAACTTTGTGAAAAAGGGGATATGTTGATAAGTAATTTTGAAGAATGGGGGTAAGACTATCAAAACAAAACAATATGGATTTAAAATGGCTAAAACTCTATTATAAGTATATAATCCAACCTGGCAAGTCTTTTGAAATTTTATTGGCTTTAAGCATCTTTTGCCTCATAGTTGATTGTATGTTTCTAAGAACATATATGGACTGATTCCTTCTTTCCATGCATAAGCCTTTCTTGCATTATCTGTAGTTGAGTGTTGGGTGAGAGTGATTACTCGGTGAAATGGGAAACATTCTAATTAGGAAATAGTAATCGGAAAATTAAGCTATGTAATCATGTCCACCTTGCAAGGTGGACACGGTTCTATCTAGAGCCGTCAAAAATGAGTTTTACCCGTCGGGTCGACCGTACCGCCGTAGGTAGGGGACGGGTTCTTCAAATTTTGATCCGCCAGGAGGTGGGCTTTTTAGCCCGTCCCGTCTGGGTCACGGGTTTAGCCCGTGACCTGCTAATACATATATATTTAGTATTTAATACATGTTATTTTGGTTTGTGTAATAGTGTTAGTGTATTATAACTTATAGGGATGAGATTATGAGTTTCAGATTGATTGAACGAGACAGAGCTACAACAGAGATTAGAACTCTAACCACTCTTATACATCAGGATAACAGTTGGAGACTAATTCCTGTCTACAAATAATAATAACAAATAACATTATTACTCACACACCCCCTCAAGTTCAAGGTGGTAGAGAGACTACACTGAGCTTGGACCGTAGAGAAGTGAACCGGGCTGCTGGCAGCGGTTTGGTGAAGATGTAGGCTAACTGATCTTTCGTCGATACAAAGTTCACCAGAAAGTCCCCAGCCGCGACCTTGTCACGAACAAAGTGTAAGTCAATTTCCACGTGCTTTGTGCGGGCATGAAACACAGGATTGGCGCACATGTAGGTCGCTCCTAGATTGTCGCACCATAGTGTGGCAGGTGTTCCAGCATGTAACCCTAGCTCCTTCAAAAGTGAGATAACCCAAGTGACCTCAGCTGCGACGTCAGCCAACCCCTTGTACTCAGCCTCGGTGGAAGAGCGGCCACAGTTTTCTGCTTCCGAGAGACCCAGGATATGAGATTTGAACCCAAAAAGACTGCATAGCCGCTGGTTGACTTTCGATCAACCGGACATCCGGCCCAATCTGAATCTGAGTAGGCGTGTACATCACAAGTCGGAGAAGGCATCAACTTCAGACCGTATGAGAGAGTGGCTTTGACATAGCGTAGGACACACTTCAGAAGGCCCCAGTGTTCAGTAGTTGGAGCATGCATAAATTAGCAGAGCTGGTTGACAGCATAGGATAGATCTGGCCGAGTGATGGTTAAGTATTGCAGCGCCCCAGCGAGACGCCGATACTGTGTCGGATTATCAAACGGTTCTGTTGCCGGGACAGCAGATTGAGTTATGGAGGCCGGAGTGGCTAGCGGCTTGCAATCAGCCATTCCTGCACGAGTTAAGACATCATTCATGTAGCGGCGTTGAGATAGGAAGAGGTCGCCGTCAGTAGGAATGGTTTCAATGCCGAGAAAGAAACTCGGTGTGCCCAAGTCACGAATTTTAAACACAGTAGAGAGACGTTGCAGCAAAGTGGTGAGCAAGGTAGAATCGTTGCCCATCATTATGATATCATCGACGTAGACTAGTAAAAAGACTCGTGAAGCCCCTGCAGTGTAATGAAAGAGGGATACGTCTGTTTTGGACGCCAAAAACCCTACAGTTAGCAAATAATCATGCAGACGCTTGAACCATGCACGGGGTGCCTGTTTCAAGCCATATAGGGACCGTTGCAGATGACACACATGATCAGGATGTGTCGGGTCCTCATACCCTGGTGGCTGCCGCATGTATACGGTTTCAGCCAAGCGCCCGTTCAAGAAGGCGTTGTGCACATCCAGTTGACGCAGAACCCAACCACGTGAAACGGCAATAGAGAGTAATAGCCGTACGGTGGTCGGCTTGACAACAGGACTGTAGGTGTCGAAGAAGTCCTCACCAGCTACCTGGTTGAACCCCTTGGCTACTAGACAAGCCTTGTGACGTTCAATAGTCCCGTCGGCTTTTCGTTTTGTACGGTATACCCATTTGCAGCCCACGATGTTCATGTCCAGCTTCGCCGGAGTCAGCGACCAGGTGTTGTTGTGTACGAGTGCATTGAACTCCTGGTCCATGGCATCACGCCACTCGGGGTGACCCACAGCTTGAGAATAGCAAGTAGGCTCAGGTGTGGCTGTGAGAGCTTGGAACGGCTCATCGGTGCCCTGTGTCATGCGTCGTAGCCTCATGACATGTGCACGGACTTGTGGTCGTGCTCGTGCAGCCTATCGCCGCGCTGGTGGTGCGGTCGCGGGCCCTGGCAGGGCTAACCGTGGTACAACTGGCTCGGGTTCAGGCACCAGAGGAGCCACTGAAGCCAAAGGAACCACTGATGGCACTACCGGTCCAGAACCCCATGGTGTCGGTGTAGTTTCTGAACTTATAGGAACCTGCAATGGTAAATATGTTGCAAAAGGAAAGATTGCCTCGTCAAATCTGACATGACGGCAGATAAAGGTTTTGCCCATGCACCGGTAACCCCTAAAGGACTTAGGATATCTTAAAAACACGCAAGGTGCAGAACGGAACTCGATCTTATGCCGATTGTACGGCCTGAGATATGGGTAGCACCGACACCCAAAGACTCTAAAGAAAGTGTATAGAGGTGACGTATTGTAGAGGCATTCATATGGACTTTTGAACTTTAAAACAGATGAGGGCATGCAATTGATTAGGTGAGTAGCTGTCTCAAAAGCCCAATCCAAATATTTTAGTGGAACGGAACCTTCGGCGAGTAGAGCTAACCCGATTTCGACAATGTGTTTGTTCCGGCGCTCGACTCTACCGTTTTATTCGTGCGTATAGGCGCAAGATTGCCTATGCACGATCCCAATTGACTCAAAAATGGAATGCAAGTGACGGTACTCACCGCCTAAATCTGACTGGATGGTCTTTATAGAACGCGAAAAACGGCGTTCTACCATCACACGAAACAACTGGAAAACTTTATAAATATTTGATTTCACCCGTAAGGGATAAAACCAGCTGAAACGGGTGTGGTCGTCCACGAAAAGTACAAAATGTCTAAATCCATCCGAAGAGATAACGGGAGAGCCCCAAATATCTGTATATAAAAGATCTAGTACATCACTACTACTAGAATTGACCCTATCTAACGGGAACCGTGACGACTTGCCCAGTTGACACGCAGAACACAACCCGGAGGGACTCGTTTTATTGGACGTGACCGGACACCTTTTTAGAATGTGTTGTAGAACACGGGAATGTGGGTAGCCCAACCTGGAATGCCAGACACTAGAGGACGCGCGAGCACTTATGTAAGCCAGATGTGCCCGAGGAACTGACAGCTTGTAGAGACCTCCCACGCTAGGACCTTTAATTAGAGGAGTTTTGGTAGCTGAGTCCTTCACAACAAAATAATCAGCGTGAAATTCAAAAAACACGTTATTATCTTGTGCAAAACGATTGACAGACAAATGAGGAACAGATAATTGAGGAACATGTAGAATATTTGACACTTTAAGATTTCTAGACACAGAAGGTAAAAATGCATGACCAACACGTTCAATTCCCAAACCTGTACCGTTGCCAACACGGAGGACATCCCCGCCGAAATATGGCTCGGATTGCGCGATCATGCTCGGATCAGGAGTCGCGTGCGAGGATGCTCTCGTGTCAGGAAACCAGGCTTCACTGCCGGCGGTGGTTGCATCATCTCCGGCTACAACCATGTTTGCTTGCGGCTGTCCACTGTACCGATGGTAGCAACTGGTTGCGATATGCCCATAATTCCAGCATATTTGACAACGTGGAGTCCGGCCGCCGCGTCCACCACCCTGTCCGCCGCGCCCTCGTCCATTGTTCCGGCCACGGCCCTGGCCAGTGTTGGAGTGCTGTCGACCGCCAGAGCCACGATTGGAATTCTGCCTGCGACTTCGTGAAGCCATCATCGCCGTCGGGGAGCCACCAGCAACACCATCAGTCGCCGGAAAATCTTCCGCGAAGATGAACTGTTGAGCATGCAGAAAATCCGATAATTGAGGGATGGTTACTGGGGTTCCATTGACAGCTAACGAGGCAGCCATGGCGCGGAATTCAGGGCGGAGACCCCTGAAGACGTAGAGATTCTATTCGTCTAAGGACATTGGACGGCCGGCCAAAGCTAGGTCCTCGACGATCAACTGAGCTCTTCCGAGGTACTCGGCCGGCGTACTGTCACCCTGGCGTAAGCTCTGGAACTGAGCGATGAGATTCAGGCAACGCGCCCTTGTGGACGATCCCAACGCCGCGGTGACAGACAGCCACACCTCGCGCGACGTATTGCGCCCCACCGCCAAATACATTACCTCGTCGGCAAGGGAAGAGATGAGGAGCGAAAAGATCGCTTGATCTTGCTGGACCCAAAACGCATACGATGGGTTTGGGGTGGTGGCGGAGACCGTGGCTCCGGAGGCTTCATCGCCGGCGGTAGTCGAAGGAAGAACGGCCGGCGGACATGGCAGCTCGCCATCTACATAACCAAGTAAGCCTTGGGCACGGAGGAAGGGGATCATTTGTGTTCTCCAAAAGAGGAAATTTCTTGTTGTTAATTTCAGCGACACAAAGTGGTGCGCCGATGATAGGGAGGTGGGGGTTGCCGGCGAACCAGTGGTGATAGCGGCGGTAACTGTGCGCTTGCTTGAATTCGTCGACATTTTGGGGAGAGAGAGAAACTCAGTCTGATAGCAGATGAGATTTTGAGTTTCAGATTGATTGAACGAGACAGAGCTACAACAGAGATTATAACTCTAACCACTCCGATACATCAGGATAACAGTTGGAGACTAATTCCTGTCTACAAATAATAATAACAAATAACATTATTACTCACAATAGGATTATAGATTTATAGGAATATAATACTAGGCAGTGTTACTGTGTTAGTGTACTGTACGTCTGTACAATGATTTTTTTTTTTTAAGGATATTGTACATTGATTTTTTTTTTTAAATAACATAGTGAAAAAATTGATTGGCGGGCTAGCCCGCCCTGCCAGCGGGCTTTGGCATGGCGGGGCGGGCCGGCTACATTCCAAGCCCGCTAAGAGGCGGGCTTTTTAGCCCGTCCCGCTACGAGGACGGGCTTTGGTGTTTTTTGGCCCGTCCCGCCCCGCGAGACCGTTTCGACGGCTCTAGACTTCTATCATAATTATGAATATATAGTTCAAAAATTATGAACATATAGTTCTATAATTATGAACATAGAGTTGTGAACATAATTATAAACATATAATTCTGTAATTATGAATATAAAGATTCAATAATTGTGAATATGAAGTTCAAAAATTATGAATATATAGCTTTATAATTATGAACATATAATTCAGTAATTATGAACATAGAGTTCTGTAATTGTGAATATAGAGTTCAATAATTATGAATATGAAGTTCAAAAATTATGAATATATCTTTTTATAATTATAAACATATATTTCAGTAATTATGAACATAGAACTGTATCCACCTTGCAAGGTAGACACGCTTCCACAACATAACGCTTCATAGTAATTAGGTCAAGCCTTGTTTTCAAAAAAATTCGAAAAATTCAAAAAAAAGGTCAAGCCTAAATCTATAAAAGATGCAAAACTTAGATGTGAGTTGAATTGACTAGAGGAATGACAAAATCATTAATTGATCTACTGGAGCTCTGGGTTAGTGCCTAATTCAATTCCATTTTAAAATTTGTGCATTGGGAATCTATTTTATATTATTATTTTTTGGGGAAAGGGGATCTATTTTATATTAAACCTTGAATTCTTATGAATAAAATGGATATTATGTAAATCGTCTTTGCATTTTACACACATATGGATGTAACGGATCATGTGTAATCTTTTTAAAAAATGTAGTGACATTTTTATAAATAATTTAAATTTTGGTGTAAGTAACATGTGTTAAAAGTGCAAGTAATCAGTGTAAATGTGTAAGTAAAATCATTTAAAAGTGCAATCATTTTCACATAATAGGGCAAGTAGTTTACCTTTTTAATATTGGTGCATATAATGCTAGCATTATGAATACTTAATATTGTTGCTCGGTGTATATTATATTATTGCACTTCTAACACATTTTATTAGAACTCTATTATTCGTGTTAGACTAGGATTGTATCTAGCATCTCTATATATTCGCTCCATTTACTCTCAGACATTATTATTGAATACAACACAATTATATTCTCATCTGGTATTAATTAGCTAGGGTTTTCTTTTCCAACATCCATGTTCCTCACTTCGTAGCAGTAGCCGATGGCATCGAACCAAGATACACCGTATGAGAAGCGGTCCGGTCAACGACGTGACATTGATGATCCGTGTCAAATTTGTAAAGGTTTCGGCCACACAGGAGCCAATTTTTTTTGGCGTTATGATGATCCGTGTCAAATTTATAACCGTTTTGGTCACACGGGAGTCAACTGTTTTCGGCGTTATTCAGGGGCTCCGGGTTTTCAGGCTAATGTGGCCGTCTCTGGTGATAATGGTGATTCCAACGGTCCTCATCAGTGGTTCTCTGACACTGGTGCTACAAATCATGCTACGCCTGATTCTTCTTTGATGACTTCTGCGACAAGTTATGATGGCCCGGAGACTCTGCGAGTCGGCAATGGTACAGGTTTGCCTATTGTTAATGTTGGTTCTGCTTCGTTAGCTACTGATTCTATGTCTTTTAAGTTACATGATGTTTTGCATGTCTCTGGTCTCTCTTCTTCTCTATTATCTGTCCAGCGTTTTGCAAAGGACAATAATGTTTTCTTTGAGTTTCACCCTCTTTGTTTCTATGTGAAAGACATTTTGACCAAGAAGGTTCTTTTTAAGGGACATGCGTTTGGGGGTCTCTACACATGGCCTGCGTCTTCTGCTTCCCCTGCTGCATTTGTTGCTGCACGGTCCTCTTACGTTTGGCACATGCGGTTGGGGCATCCTCATTCTCGAGTCTTACGTAAAATTTTAGCGTCTTCGTCTGTTGGTACATTTAATTCTAGTGATCTTCTCAATGTATGTTCCTCTTGTCAATTAGGAAAATCTTCTCGTTTTCCTTTGTCTCGTGTCGAAACTACTAGTACACATCCTTTGGAATTAATTTATTCAGATATTTGGGGCCCTGCGCCATTACTTTCTGCGTCTGGCTTTAAATATTTTGTGTTGTTTGTGGATGATTACACTCGTTATATGTGGTATTATCCCATGCGTGTTAAATCTGATTTGTATGCTATATTTAATAAGTTTCGGTCACTAGTTGAACGTTCCTTTTCTCGCAAGATGATTTCTTTTCAATCTAATTTAGGGGGAGAATATAAAAAGCTTGGTTCCACTCTTGCGTCCTTAGGTATTCGTCAAAGGCAATCCTGTGCATATATTCCTGAACAAAATGGCAGGGTAGAACGTAAGCATAGGCATGTTGTTGAAACGGGACTAGCATTAATGGCTCAATCCTATGTTCCGTCTCGTTTTTGGGATTATGCTTTTGAAACTGCAGTTTATCTAATCAATAAAATGCCCACTCCTGTCTTATATGATAAATCTCCTCATTATCTTTTGTATCGGTCTCCTCCATCTTATTCATATCTGCGTGTTTTTGGGTGTTTATGCTTTCCAAATCTGCGTCCCTATAATCGCAACAAACTACAGTTTCGGTCATCCCCTTGTGTCTTTCTAGGATATCCTCCATCTTTTCGTGGCTATCGTTGTTTAGACACTAACACTAACAAGGTTTTTATCTGTCGTCATGTGCGAGTCGATGAGGCTATCTTTCCTTTTGTTACTTCTATGGATTCGCAGGTTCCAAAACCACTCCCGGAGCCGTGGGGTGTTGCACCAATTGTTTCTGGTGGTGATCCGACTATTGTCACAACTCGTGACCCTCCTGCCGCGCCCATATCCGCTTCTGATCACCACCGCCAGCAGCCTGCTACTGCCGAGCCCGTGACCGAGTCCGAGCGGACAGTCACGGACCAGCCGGCTCCTCGGCCAAGAAGCCGGCCTCGTGGTCGGTCTTGTCCCGCACCCTCACCCGTTCGCTCTCATGGAATGAATACGAGAAGTTCGGGACCAAATGATCATGTTGCTTTATCTGCTGCTGCTGTTACTCCTGAGCCTACATGTTTTACTCAAGCGGTTAAATTTCTTGAATGGCGGGATGCAATGGATTTGGAATTTAATGCATTGGTGCACAACAATACATGGAGGCTTGTTCCCTTTAAATCAGGTATGAATGTAGTTGGATGTAAGTGTGTGTTTAGAACCAAGAGAAAGGCTGATGGTTCGATTGAGCGTTACAAGGCTCGGTTAGTTGCCAAGGGATTCAATCAGATTGCCGGTGAGGATTTCTTTGAGACCTTTAGTCCCGTTGTTAAACCGACTACGGTACGTCTTCTCTTATCCCTAGCTATTTCTCGTGGATGGACTATTCGACAGCTAGACATACACAATGCTTTCCTAAATGGCAATCTCGCTGGGACAGTTTATATGCGCCAGCCCCCCGGCTATGAAGACAAAACGATGCCCGGGCACGTTTGTCTCCTTCAACGTTCTTTGTATGGGCTTAAGCAAGCTCCACGTGCTTGGTTCACATGTTTGCATGATTTTCTAGTTTCTGTTGGTTTCTCACCTTCCAAGACTGATATATCTTTATTTATATATTCACATGGCAATACTCGTCTATATTTTCTGGTTTATGTGGATGATATTTTGGTTATGGGTTCTGATTCGGCTCATGTGACTGATCTTATTGACAAGTTGGCTCTTGAATTTAAAGTTCGTGATATGGGAGTGCCCTCTTTTTTCCTGGGTATTGAGACTATTCCGTTGTCTGGTGGCATGCTTCTGTCTCAACAACGGTACATGAAGGATATTTTAAAACGGGCAGGTATGGTTGATTGCAAGCACGTGGCCACTCCGGTTTCAACTGCGAAGGTTGAGACTGGTGTCGTGGTGCCATATGCTGATCCTACTCAGTATTGCAGCTTTCCAGGTGCTCTACAATATCTTACGGTAACTCGTCCTGATCTTTCCTATGCAGTCAATCGTTTGTGTCAGCACATGCACTCTCCCTCCACTGCGGATTGGGCGGCTCTCAAGAGGATGTTACGGTATGTAAATGGTACACTACGTCTCGGTCTTAAAATTACTTCCTCTCCCTCTCTGGATATTCATGCTTATTCTGATTCCGATTGGGCTGGCAATCCTGATGATCGAAAATCTACCAGTGGTTTTGCTGTGTTTTTGGGGACCAATCTTGTCTCATGGGTTTGTCGAAAACAGCATACTGTGGCTCGTTCCTCAACTGAGGCAGAATACAAAGGACATGTTGATGTTTCTGCAGAGGTTACTTGGCTCGTATCTCTGATGAAGGAACTCGGGTTTGCTTCATCTTTTGCGCCCAAACACTGGTGTGATAATCTGGGTGCTACTTATCTATGTGCTAATCCGGTGTTTCATGCTCGCACCAAACACATTGAGATCCACTGCCATTTTGTTCGCGATAAAGTAGCAAAGAAGGAATTACAAGTCAATTTTATTTCTACCAAAGATCATATAGCAGATATTTTTACTAAGTCTCTTTCGTCTGTACATTTTAATTTACTCCGTTCCAAGCTCAATGTATTGGCTGACCAAACTTGTGCTTGAGGGGGAGTATTAGGACTCTATTATTCATATT